TTCATCAAATTCGAAGCTCCCGAACTCGACGAATTCACCGTGGCCGACGCAACCTCACCGGTTGTGCCAGCTCCGGGAGTTTTCTTCGCAGCCGTTGTAGTCGCGGTGAGACTCGAACTCTCGCTACTAGAATGAGAATTGGACTTCCGTTCCCCGGGAGCCGGAGCCCCGGCAACTGCAACGTCGGCAGAAGCGGCCTGTTTAGGCTTGGAGCGCTTGGTTTTGCGGCAGCCACCGCCGACGGGAACGTTACGCAGAACGCCACCTTTAGTCCAGTAGCGTCTGCAGCTCTTGCAGAAGTGTCTAGGCTGGGAAAGATTATAGTTGTTGTAGTAGCAAAATTTGGTGTTCAAAGAATCGCAACGAGGGCACTTTAGAGCTTGATGGTGGTTCTGGTTGTGGTGTGGCCTTAATCTTCTATCTCCACCGCCGCTGCCACCGGCAAACAACCTGTTTCCTCCGCCTGCTACTCCTCCACCTCCACTAATAGCATGTATATCTTGCATTTCTAGAATTTAGTTAGGAGAAGATGGGGGTTTTAATTCTGGGTTTTTCGCTGCTGGAGAGAAAAAGGGCTCACAATTCACATTTGCCGACTACTGATGGGAAAGCGAGAGGGGAAGAAGGAGGGGAAGATTTTCAACATTGGGAGGGTTATGGTTATTATGACGAAGAATGGATGTTGATGGTGTTGTGTTTGGCTATTTGGGCTCTCCGCTGCACATGCACTGATCACTCTGACAAATATCCCCTCGCATATCTCTCTATCTTCTAATAATAAAAAATTTTCGGCATTTTCGAACTCTAGTAACTATGAGCAGCAGCAGAACCTATTTTTGAGATCATAAATGGCTTACAATTGGTACTGTAATTTATACATATCACATTTCATAAAAAAAAAAATCAAATATATTTAATTTAAATTATAAATATAATTTTTAATTATTATTTTATCACAAAAATTAATACAATATAGAATGACAAATATACCTCTTCCCTAGCATGTCATTCATGTGTGGCGGTCAAGTTCCAATATAGAAATGTTCCAATATTTCTGACCTATTTGGCATCTTACAAAACTCTAGAATTAGAGCTCAACATGTTAAAAGTTGCACTAGTTTTACATAAATTTATTATTGTATTTGTCCACAATTAATAATTAATATACTCAAATAATTTGTTGATAACAAATGGGAGTATAAATGAGTTTAATCTCTCAAAATAAACGCTCTAGTATTATTCGAATTTATTTGATTATTTTAATGAATTTAAAATTGTACTGAAGTTTGGTTTGATTATTTATTGAGACCAACTCGAACAAACTTTTCTCGCGTCAAACTAAATTCAAACTTGAATATCTTATGATTTTTACTTGCAAATTTTTAATTTGTATACTAATCGAGTCAAGTTATGATCAAATTTAAAAGCAGACCAATCAAAAATGTTATTCAAGTTTAGATTGAATAGTTAGTAAACAGAAATAAAAAAAATACTCTTATTGAATCAAATTCGATTCGAATATCGAATAACTTGGTTCAATTTTCGGCTAATTTTGTTCACAAATTTTAAATCACGTTGATCCAAACTCAGATGGATTAAACCCTATCTTACGAAGGATACTTTTTAAGAATCCTAAACTATAAAATTTGTCAGGCAGTTCTAAATCATGCGTCATTCAAAACAAATAAATTACTCCAATTTGTTAAGCAATTCGTTAAATGTTCTTGACTCTATTTGATTATTGAGATGGCGTTTTCAACAAATAAATTTCACACGTTGCGCCAAAGCGAGAATAAAAAATCGCACGCATCCCCAATTAAATTCACTTGCTTGGAAAAGATACGTGCGATGCGCGACGATGATATAACCTGCATTGGCACAAATTGGCATCGAGGCCCCTCACAGAGTGTGGATTGTCGTCTCCTGGTGAATTTACCAAAACAGGCTCGAGAAATGCATGCAAAACAGGCGAGCAGTGGAGGGGGGGAACTCGGTAATTTGGTAGCCGAGCGTGGGAATGGTTTGTGCCGTGACATGACCGTACGAGGGAAGGAAGAGGGATCGAGGACGTCGGGAGAGGACACGTGGACGGCGGAGAGAAGGGAGAAATTGATGTCCACAGGAACAGGGGGAGATTGTCGAGTTGTCGGCCAGTAGGAATAGTACCACAATTATCTGCTGTGCTATCTTGGTGTCAGTTATCACCGGTCCATGAAGAGCCACGTCGGTCATGCACAGGTCTATTCGTCAGCTGATATTGTTGACACGGGACTTGACTGCAGGACTCACATTATTTTACTATTTTTGAAGAATATATGGTAAGTGTTCACTAGGAAGATGAAGATCTGATCTGATCTCTGATTCAGAAATATTTTTTTTTTGTATTAAAGTTTTTCTTTTGGATTATTAACAAATGGCAAGTTTAATTTTTATGTTTCAAATGACAACTGTTTATTTCTTCTACAGCAAATAAGTATATGAAGCTGGTTCGAGCGTTTGGATAGGAGATTATTTGAAATAATTATTATAGCATTTTTTTGTAATATGATGTATGTGAGATAAAAAAGTTGTTAAGAAGATAAACAATTTATCGGAAATTATAATTGTGATGTAACTAAAATAATATTTGGGAAAAGTATAGCTATACAAATTTTATGTTAATGTGGAATCAATTGATTTGGAGGCTATAATGGGATAATTATGTTGAATGTACCCTATCTTAACGGACTGGAGAATTTTTCGTAAACACATTTTTCAATCATTTTTTTATTTTGCATACATCAAATTGCTACAATATATTTTTATATAAAAACTCTAAAAAAATAGCAATCCAAACGAGCTTGTTTGTTCGCATAATTTGTGTGAGTTATTGTTTGATTTCTTTTGGTATTGTTCAGTCATTCGTTAGATAGGTACGTTGGACATGACGTAGTATTCTACTTGTTTGGATTGGGTTTTATTTCCCCAAATTTATTTGCTTACATCATCATTACAATTTCCAATACACCTTTTTACCTTCCCAATTACCTTTTTATCTCACATACATCACATCACAAAAAGTGTTACAGTAAAAATATCTCTAATAATTCACAATCCAAACAGACTAGAAAAAAGACGTGGTAAAAGTGATGGAATACCAGATGTTCACATATAGGCAGAAATTGCACCAACGTCAATGTATTAGTTGGGAAGCTACATTAACTGTCCAGGATTTAGCTTAACTTCTAAATCATGATGGTTTCCTTCGTGACCTCGAGTTCTTTGGTGGCAAAGGCAAACAATCTCCTTCTTGTTTGGCAAGACGGCCTCAGCCGAAATCAAGCATAATTTTTAGTTTCATCTTATTGTAGCAACATCTTGTATTGTCAAAGGAAGTTTGTTCGTTAAGTTCCTCATTTAACTCGAAAGGATGGAGACTTGAGCTAGTATACCCACCCACGTACAAATCGATGATGGTTTCTACGCCCAAGTGTCAACTGAACTCTTAACAAATGTTTGAATTAATAACGTTGATTCCGTCTATTCCAGAAAGAATATGTATAATACTTTTAAGGGATCTCGAAGGTCAGTACTAAGTATTGAGATTTACGGAAGAGAACGTGTAGATTTTGTTAGAACCAATCATTCTTTTGCAAATTCTAGAGGTGTCAAAATGGATGATTTGGACGAGTTTGGATTGATTAAAATAGGTAATAAATATAAGTGAGTCAATCCATTTATACCCATATAATTAAGTGGGTATAAATGGATAAGTTAAAAAATGAATTGGGTAACTCAATTATCCATTTATAACTCATTTATTTTAACTTTTTGTAAACTCATTTAAATTCATTTTTGCAAACTAAATTATCAATTTATCCCACCCTTTGCACCCATCATTAGTTTTAAATATTTACGTATACTACTCAATGAGCCTAATTACTAATTTTTTTTTATCCGTACTCTGTGTTGCAAAATTACATACTATTTGATAATTGAATAATAAGAATATAAAATTTTGAACTAAGCAATATAAAAGTTAACATAAAAACTTAATCAAAAAATTTTGAACCTCTAGCATTTTTTTCGTGTGTAAATTTAAAATTTCATTTTGAAAGGTAGGAAAAGAGGTTAAAATTTGTCATAAATTGGTAATGTTGAAAAATGAGCAAATTAACAAACTAAGAGCAAATAAAATGATAAGATAAAACTAACAAATAATAATAATAATAATAATGAAGCAAAAGTAGTATTTAACATCATGACAAAATGAAAAATTTGAGAAAAAAAAACTGGGTTGGGGAAGAGAGGAGATTTGGAAAAAGACAATTGTAAATGGGTTAATTGAATTTGATGGGTTACCCAATAATATCCATTTATTAAATGAGTATTATTGGGTAACTAATTTATACTAATATGCAAAAACTTAAGATACCCACACTCATTTATTCATGGGCGAGTATGGGTAAATTTAATTAAATGAGTTTGTTTGTCACCTCTATCAAATTCTTCCTTGCATTTTTAAACGACAGTGAAGATGAAATTAAATACTCAATGAAAACCGAAACTGAGTTTAGAGAAGTGAAATTTTTCTTTCATTTTGAAAAAAGCATTTGTAGAAAAAAGATTAAGGTCTAAATACTTCCCTAGATCAAAGTCATCAATTCAAAAACGTTTAAACCAGCTGGTGATTAAGTCCACCAGCTGAGACACTGACATGGAGGTAGGTATTGTGTAAATCCTCAATGAGAAATTGCCTCATGTTAATTACAGATGGGGCGTTTAAAATGTGATAGCACTGTACTTGTACTGTGTTATTTTGGTGGTATTTGAAAATATTAATTAGTTGAAATATGTTATTTCTTGATTTTTTGTTACTTTTCAAATAAGGAGAAAGCATTTGGTTTCTAATTAATTGCTTCTAATGCACTGAATATAAGACGTGGCTGACTCTTTCTTCTTGAATCAAGAACATAAAGTAGTAGCTGATTATGTGATAACAGTAGTAGTAATTATTGTTTACCTAATTGATGGGAAATTTTATACCATGTCTAGACTATAAATTGATGTGTCGAAACTTGGACCAATAAATAGAGTACCACAAGCATTTACATATCATTTTCATAGACCACAGTTAAATATCCAAAAACCAAGCAAACGTCAAAGAAGAAAGAAATTTCCCAATTGCCGATGGTCATATGCTGGCTGGGCCACTTGCCCAGAAGTCGTCCAATTTGAATGGCCGCTACTTCGATTTGATAAGCCATGTCCCTGGGAATTGAACGACTCTTTCTCTGTACAAAGATGTTGGAATTTACCCTTCATGTCCAAGAATGGGAATTGCTAAATGCAAAGGTCTGGAGCTCCACTATGGCTCTTGTTTTCCTGGTTGACGAAGATTGAAGAGAACGTTTCCTAATCGTGTCCGGTCCTTGTCCTGCTCCTAATACAATTGTGCGTACAGGGACAAACACGATAGTGACCATGCAACCAACTTCATTTAATAACAACATTGACGCAAAAGTTTATATTCTTCGATCAAGAAAATCTTGCGTACTATAGTACTAGCTAGGCATCACTCTAGAGGGTATCTACATTAAACATGTGTGTGTGGAAACTCTTGCTTGGAAAGGGATTTTTTCACTAAAAAAATCTCTACATTTTTTCGTGAACACATTTTTCAATCATTTTTTTATCTCACGTATATCAAATCGCTACAGTATATTTTCTACAAAAACTCCAAAAACTTGCAAGATGATTAATTTGACCAATGATTTTACTTTTCAGTTAAAAAGGGTCAATATTCATCAGGCGGAAAGATTTTAGGTACGCCGCCATTGTTATGCATATACAGCAAAGCAAGCAAAGTTGATGATGTTTAAATGATATTTAGTTCACACATCCACCAGAGGTATGCAATTAATTGTTTCACAAGGGTTTTAAAGTTGAGCTTATCTGAGCCCAACAATAATATGTACCATTGATAATGTGTTTAGGGTAGACTCTCAGCATGGCCATCATGCTATTGTTAAGGCTGAGTTTTCTAGTTTAAATGCTAAGCTTGATGGTATATAATACATGGAGCATATCATGCTGGTTTGATGGATGATTTGAAGTAGACGGCGGGCGACCGTAAATCCGTGCAAAATGTTGAGCTATGTAGATCATGACACTTGACAGGATGTAACTAGAGGTAAATTGTAGGAGTGACAGCCTGATGAATTTGGAGCAGGAAAACCCTCTCCCGTCCTCCGCAACGCAAGTGCTGTAAAATCTCCCCTCCCGCTCCCGTCCCGTCTCCTGCTTCCCTCATCCCCACCTCACCTCATCCCGTACCTCTGCGAATGCCCCCGTGGTTGGTTGGCTAATTATAATTGTTATTTATTATTTTGACATTGTTTGTCTATATATATATATATATATATAACATCGACAACAACTTTGTAAATCGTTCTTTTAGTTGCTTAACTAAATACTTAATGTAAAATCAAGTTTGAAAATCACTTTGATCTTTTGAATTTGTTTTTCCACATGTAATAGCAAATCTAAACTTATACTAATTGCCGTATTTGTTTTTGTTTTTTGGCAAACAACTTACGATATATATGAACAAATTTCATTAAACTAAAAGTAACGAAATTATCATTTTATTAGATGAATTGTGATATTTTTAGTTCTCAAGTTATAACATATATGCATATGTTATTCATATATAGTTATAATGTGTAAATGTATATATGTATAAATATATCGATATATAAATTTTTAAAAATTTATTTTAATGGTAAATGGAGGGAGAAAAATCTCCTCCAACCCGCCCCCTTACTTCCATCCTAGCTCCCTTATCATTTGATAGTCTTGTGCACAAAGTTTATACTAGAACAAATAAGTACGTGTGTAGCTGCTTTTTTTATTATTATTTTATTTTAAAATGAACTGTTCAAATTGAATCAAACTGATGTGATACGATGATAACCATTAACTACATTATGGGTTTGCACCTCAACTGCACATGTCCTCTCCGATCAATCAGAATCCAAGGCTACTAGAAGGAAACCCTATAGTACTTTCAATCATGCCACTGTAAGGTTCTGTACTGGTCCCTGCATAATCCAATTGTACCAAGTAGGGGTGCAAACGAGCCGAGCTCGAGTCAAGCTTTGGTTAATCGAGCCGAGCTCGAGTTAATTTTGTGAAGCTCGAACTCGAGCTCAAAATATCAAGCTCGAGCTCGAGCTCGAGTCAAATTCGAGTCGAGCTCGAGCTCGAGCTCGTGTTTAAAAAATAAAAAAAATAATTATTATTATTTTATTTTTAAAAAATAAAAAATAATTTTTTTAAAAAAAATGAATAAAACAATAATTTTTTTAACAAATAATAAATATTAGGGATATATATGTAATTTTATTATTAAAATAAAAAATAAAAAATAAAAAAAAATATATATAATTGAACTCGCGAGCCAACGCGCTTAATGTTTTTGAGCTCGAGCTCGAGCTCGTATTCGAGCCGATCGCGAGCGGCTCGATTCGCGAAACACCCCAGTATCAAGTGAAGTTAAATTGACTCCTACGATCATTATGCGTAGATTGCTTGACTGAGCAGGTTCTTGCTAGCAAGGGATCCACATCCACCACTAGTCTTTCCCACACAGCTACTCACTTGCAAGGGGACGAGTAGGGGGCTCTTATATAAGGCATTCAGGTACCATTCCCATCTTTCCTTTTCTTTTCTTATTTTTTTTTTAGGGTTCTCTTTTTGTATGTGCAGAAGAGTGCATGAAATACTCAAACCTACATAAATGCATATAAATGGTTGTGTCTGAGCTCGATCTTTCGCAGTAGCGAATGGAGGATGGAACGGAATAGAATAAGTGGTTCAGTTTGGAGTCCACTGATCCCATTCCATTGTATCTCTCATCTATCCTAATCCTTGAGATTGGAAAAGATATTGCATTTGCCAAGTCCTCTTCGGAGGTTGTACGCTTAATGGAAGTCACCATCCTTAGCCCACCAACCTTCAAGCTCAGCCCTTACGGCACAGTCGGTTGGAGTGGAGACATCCCCTTCAATATATGTCCCACCATCTCCATCTTCTTCTTCATGCCTACCCTTACATGCATGGTGCTATTTGGGTCCTACTCCACAACTATTCCTAACCCAAAATCTAATCTGGCGACTTCATTATTTTATGTAGTACCCTCTTTTTGTCTGGAAAAATAGGGTTTGAAAGGAATGGCCAACATAGCTAATTAACTTTTGTAGTCGAATTAATACTTTCTCTTGATGATGTTTTACTTATGCAACTACAATCCTAAGGCAGTTCGTGATACTTGATTCTTAGGAGGTTTAGGGCATATGGTCCGAGCAAATCTTATTTGGAGGACTAAAAAAAAAAAAATTCCAATGTCCAGTTTAACTGAACTTTGTACCATTATAGACCACCAAAAATCTATCAAGGAAATACGTAGCTATGCAAATTGAATAGTGGATGCCACCTAGCTATCTATATCTAAGCTCATGTCTCTATAGTAAAAGGGTCACCTTCATCCATTGTCCTAAGATCAAAGGTTTTGAACTTGAGTGGCCTAGACATTGAATGAAACGTTGAAAACTGTCATGTATGGACAAGCACCTTTAAAAAACTCACGACTTTATGTTTTCCTACAATTATGGGTGATTGTCTTCAAGAATTAGGTGGTGGTACAATCTCAACAGTCGACCGTACATCATTTCTATCGGACTATTTACTGGCCAGACTTCAACATTCACGAGGGGGTGGGCAAGGGTAGTAAAAATTTCAAGAACAACTGCGTCATATTTCAGGATTGTTATTATTTGCACAAAAATTATTTATTTGCACTCTGTAGAACCAACCTGGAGCACGGACCAAACAGGGCGTGCCAAATAGGAGCGGGCGAGCCGACCTGTAATGAGGCGTACAGTGGGACTAGCTCTCCGTTGTTACTCCGACTTGCAACGAGGCATACAGTGGGATTAATTTCCCACTGTACTCCGACTTGTTACTCCGACGCTCAAGTCAATTTGGCAAATAATAGATTATGGGAGAATAAGAGTGTCGTATTTTGTGTGCGTACCTTTTCTTGATCCCCTGAACCACTATTTATAAGGCTTTCCCCTTAGTAGTTATGAGGGAGTCTGTAGTTATCCTCCTACCACTAGTAGTTATCCCATTCGGAATATGCGTTCTACTAGAGGCGTAGTCCTTCTTGAACTCTAACTTTTGCCTTATCCGAAGACCCAGCCAATCCTTACTATGAGAGCTAGCATTGGCCTGTTCGAACCTCGACCCGTTCGGATTCCTGGTGAGATCTGAACAGCGTCTCTTGGTTACGACACGTGTCCGTAAAGGATTGCTCCCTCTCCACATTGCAAATAGATTTTTTAATATATTTTTTATTTCATATACATCATATCATAAAAAATGTCACGATAGTTATTTCAAATAAGCTCATTCGTTTGAAAAAAAAAAAAAAAAAAAAGCTCATTCACATTTCAAATAATAATTCAAACAAACTACTATCCAAATAACATATCAAATAATTTTAAGCATGCCCCGAAAAGATTGAAGCAAGAAAAATATGGTTGCATGTTTTGTATAGGATCTTGCTCCTTCAAGAGTGTTGTCAATTGAGATTTGAATGTGACTCACGAGTTTCCATTATATTAAATTTTTCATTCCTATATTTTAACTTGAGGGTGGGGGGTCTGATTCTAGATTTCGAATCCCATCATTCAAAACAACTGCTGATTTGCACAGAGTTTAGAAATTCTAGGTTCTTCCAATTTCGTGATTCTTCAGTTGTGAAAATCTTGACTCTTGAGGAATGAGACGGTGGGTGGGTCGGCGCCGAGAAAATTTGGGATCTAGCAAGTATAGGCTCACAAACCTGACAATCCAGGTTGGATTGGCGCTTTTGGAATTTAATAGTTTGGCACCACCCTAAAGCTTCAACTTGCCTCATTTCAAGGTTTTGATGATTTCACTCGCACAATCTCTTGAGGTTTTGAGTTCATATGTGTGCTTCCCTTGCTTTGCGTTTTAACGTAACAAAAGCAGCCCATTTACATTAAGAAAAAATTCATTTGAAAAGCTGAATTTATTCACTCTTCCAATTTATCCTTGCATAAAAAGTAACATGAGGAATTTAACTCAAATGAAAGGACTTGAAAATGTTTAAAAGAAGAGGACAATCATGGATCTATAAATTATTGAGCAAGCTAAAAAGAATTTGATGAGGTCGGTTATTATGAAACCATTGAGGGAACTAGAAATCTAACCTTGTTTGGATTGCGATTTTCCGTCGGAAAATTACGTCGTTTTCCGTGATCACATTTCCCTATTACTTTTTTCCCTCACATACATCAAATCGCTACAGTAATTTTCCCATGAAAAATCATGGAAAATGCAATCCAAACACAAAAAATTCTTGGTTATTATGATACTTGGAAATGTAATGGTAAAAGTACAAAGTCTGCCCGAGTAAATATATTTACTCATTTTTAATGCTGTGAGATGTGATCATGTAACCTACTTCACATTCCCTGATGAGGATGAATTTGTAACCCTCCTATTTTCTATTGCAAATTTTGTGAATTCCAATTTCAATGTCTACATATTTCTAAGCATCGACCACTGAGATATTCAATTCTCTCTACGGGTTCGTTATGATTGCATAGCTCTCTCTAGGCTGTTGTACATAAGTTTTCAAGTTCAGCTATTTTTCCATTTTTTCTAAACATTTTTCATGTCTTTTTTTTTTCACTTAAATTGTTACTATATCAATTCTTTACGAGTTTTGCTAAGGTGAAAACAGTTTTACTTGCAGTTTATATTAATTCGTCGTGCAAACAGACTGATTTTGAAAACATTAAGAGTGCCAAGTGAAATTATTAGAAATCCCAGAGAAAATTTTATAAGTATATCCTAGTCTTAGTTCAAGTTTAGAGTTTGTTCCTCTTCTATAATACTTCTGCATAAATGGTTACATACTCTCTTTTTGAATGGTTATAATGGTTTAATGAAAAATAGTCGCAAATTGGTGCATCCAACACTTGCTAAGTTGGATGTTTGGAAACAAAAATTGCATCAAACTTTGATCAAGTTACGTTACATCTTCGAAAAGCATGTTAAGTATATCTAAGTTGGGGACGGGTGATTCGAGACAAGGGAGGGAGTGTAACTAAGAAATCCTAAGTTCAAACCTTCTCGCTTATACTAAAACAAAAAAAAGATGTATATCTAGGTTGGCTAGGAAAAAACTCTTAGAGAAATTTAGGATTCGGATCATGTATCTAATAATTGAGAATAAAAAAAGGCGTGAGAAGGGAATATATTTGAGGGTAAAGAAAAAATGTATATTCAGGCGATTATCACTTATATAATTATGACACAACACTAGAAGTAGTACCACCAAGTTATCCTTCGTTTCAAGAGAAATGCCAATGTAGAACAACTAATTTTCAAAAACCACGTCAAGAAAAAAAACAATGAAACTGGCCAAAATTTTTTGCAATAAACTGCCAATCGGCAATCAAGGGGGAATAAGATTCTCCAAAGTTGGTTTGATACTTATATGTCTCACACATCTACTTCTTTCTAAGCATTGAATAATATGTTTGGTTTCATAAGAAACTTTGTTGATGCATGCAGACAGCTATGCACGTGTTAGGCAAGAAAACACAAATGATGTTGGGATTGACCCAATAAGCTGCTGGACAAATTTTGTTTTATGACAATTGATTTATCTCCACAACAAAACAATTGCAGCCCAACTGACAGTTTTGTTGGTTTTCTTTTGTTGGCGTCCACCACATAGAATACAAATCCAAATTCCAGGATCTCGTGGTCACTTCTTGCCAAATTTCGTAGTATAAAATTTGGTATTTCTTCATTGATAAACAAAAAATACTTACATCCAAACACTTACTTTCTAATTGCACTGTCTCTGTCATTTTCATGAACCACCACTAATCTCGGTTAAACACACATCTCAATCAATTGGACTTCCTAACCCCACCCTTAGTTAATTGATATGCATTTCCTTAATTAATCCTATTGGACTTCCTTTGTCGTGAGGCGGCTCGAGTAGTACTTTGTCATATACCCCACAAAGAAATTACTCGCATTTAGCAGCCCACATGCTTGCTGAAAAAATCCTGCCCCCCGGCAGAGATTTAGCCTGTTTGGATTATTATTTTCTGGAGTTTCGTTGAAAGGTGTATTGTAACGATCTAATGCACATCAGGTAAAATGGTGATTGACATATGTATTTATGAAAAATGTAAAAAATTTTTTGAAAAAAGTTACAATCCAAAAAATTGCGAAAGGACCCTCAAATTTTCTTAAAACTTCTTTTTTTCTTTTCCTATTTTTTGTTTATTTATTCACGTGACATGCCATGTAACATATTAAATTTACATTTTATTAGGAAGACAAGGGTACGTAGCGCTTGATTTCGATCATGAGAGATTTTTTTTTTTTTTTTTTGTGTTTTAGCTATTATGTCATATCCACATAATGTCAGCTCGAGATTTATTACCCAAAGTTTTTTTAAATAGGATTTATTTTTGAAAAATGAAATTTGCGCAATGATTTGTTTGGATATAGTATTATTTGAAATAATTACTGTAATATTTTTTGTAATGTGATGTATGTAAAATAAAAACGTAATTAAAAATATAAAAAAATGAGTTGAAAAATGTGTTTATGACGCAAGTGAAATATGCTTTGGAGAAATTTGCTATCCTAATAGATGCTAAAAAGGTAAAGCACCAGATTGCGTGAACCTGTTATCATGACAGTAGTAATATAACTAGGGATGGCAACGGGGCGGGGTTGGGGCGGGGGACCCCTCCCCCGCCCCCCGCCCCGTTGCCTATTAATTCCCCCCGTCCCCCGCCTCCCACTCCCCCCCGCCCCGCCCCGCTTCCCCCGCGGGGTTAATAAAATTTTTCCTGCGGGATTAATAAAATTTTATTATAGTTAAATTTTAATAAATAATCAAGTACTAAAATATCAACACTTCATCAAGTTATTATTCATTGTAATTTTACAATTGAAACTCATAAAAACAATCAAACAAAAGTTATTTGAATACAATCCAATATGATGAAATAAATACAACTAAAATAGTCAAGTTTTCACTTTTGGTACAAATACAATCACTAATTCATTATTGTGTTTGTGCTTTTTTTTTGAGAAAAAAGTGTTATTCTATTAAGTGTAATTAGAAATTTAGTATAAATGTATTAGTAAATTTAGTATAACTAATTAATAAATTCAATTAGTAGACATGTCTAATTATTCGTATCATTGATAATATCAATTATATTACATACACTAATATACATTATATAATACATCTAACTAATAATATTATTATCATAAGTTTATAACTAATTAAATTACATATTATATATAATTATATATATTTATATATATACACTTTTTCTTTTGCGGGGGGCGGGGGTATACTCCCCCGTCCCCCGCCCCGTTACTAAACGGGCGGAAAAAATTCCCCCCGTCCCCGCCCCGAGAGTCCCTCGCGGGGCGGGCACCCGCGGGCACCCGCCCCCATTGACATCCCTAAATATAACTGAATGGCTTCTAACAATCCGTTAATGAAATTTACTTTTTGCTTGAATGAGCACTACTACATAAATTTGGATGGCAAATAAATAAAATTAAGATCTAAGGCTCGAAAAAAGAACTGTAACCCAGAGAGCGAGGTAAGGTAACATATGAAAGTGATAGTGAAGTCAATGCAGATTAGTGCAATCAATCAAATGAAAACATTCTTCGGGAGATTACGCTTTACAAAAGTCCAACTTAACAAAGTTAAACTTCTATTCTTCTATTATTGTAGAGATTCGGCTGTCGATTTCACCAAAGTTACAGAGATCATGTTGGAAGAATTTCCCACCCTTGGAATTCTTTGAAGCAAAAAATTAAGATCTAATTTCACGAAAAAAATATGTTCACGAAAAATGTAAAAAAATTTTCTATGAAAAACTGACTAAAATTTGAAAGAGAAAAACCACAGTAAAAGTAGTATTGGTGAAAGAAGATCAAATCTGCAGGCTAATGATTCAACATCGAAATGCATGAGAATGAATCATCAAACATCAAATACCCTGCATTTTATCTCATCATCATGAAAGAAAAGCAAACATATTAATCCTTAACCCGTCTGTACAAGCAACTAAAATCATTGCAGACGTGTAAGTTGAATAACATGTGCTTCTGCAGTTCTCGAAAGCAGCAAGAGCTCATCCAGAACTAATGACACCTTGCCTGAGTGAATAGCCAAAACATTACATCAATTTATTCATCTCCAGTTGGAAGATTTTCCAATCACAAAGATTCAACAGCTCTGCCATATTAACGGCAACAATCAGGCTCAGCCAAAAGCTATATGGTATTGGAAAGATTTCACTGGATTTTGTACTATCAAGGCAATTCAAGCCGTTTCCGGCTGAATCCCAATTCATGAGACACTGAAAACAGCATACTAGATACCTCGTTGCATAGTTTAATCTTCAAACTCTTGCAACTGATACCCCACTGATACAGTTTTATTGAGACGCATCTTGTCACATTCAAAAATTTTGGGACATAAACAACTGGCCATAAGATGAAACAATATGCTTTAAAAGGAGGTAAAAGTAACACTTCCGCAATTAGTTTGAAATCTCCTCCTGTATTCAGCAGACGGAGCTTTCCTCAATTGACATTGAGCACTCCCTTAGGCTGTATAACCCCATAACTTCCTGAAAACTAGCATGCCAAACATGAAACTGGATGTCCTTCCAACCATAACCACAATAAGATGATGCCAACAAACATCAAAAGGACAACTCATATTACCTTTGATTTTGAAACTCATGAGCTTTATGCAAACACCAACATGCCTAAAGAAAATTGAGTTGCTTACAAAATCAGAAATTGTGCACAAAAAAAACAAAACTAAGTTAGCTCCCACCACCAACCCCGTCTTCATGTATTATTCCTCCAATACCGACTTTGGAGCTGAATTTTGCACATTAATTTCCAAAGTAGTATTACAGTGTGTTAACGAGCATTCTCAAAGATGGAACAATGTATCTGTATTCAAACAAGAGAGTTCTCTCATCTATGCATATTTAGACATTGAGAACTTTGAGCCACTGTGATACAAGCAACCATCATGTTATTTGATGCGAAAAGATGCAAGTGAAAAGGAGAACAACAGTAGAGATGCTGCACATATTTGCCTCAACGAAGATTCATGTAAACCTATTATCCTGTCCTTTTCTCCACTTCTTCCCGACAGAGAATTCATGGGGAACCTGGTATGAGGCTTTTATGAATAAGAAAGAATATCAAGAACGAATATGGTCATACGAGCTGTTTTGAAAACAGAAGACTGCTTTTAACTATATGGACAATTATTTTAACACATGAGTCAAACCATTAAAAGCAGAAGAATTTGAGACGAGACTTAATATCCCACATTCTAACATTCTTGAACCAGAGCAGTCTTGTTATGAACTGAATTCAGACGATCGGTCAGACGCAATAAGAAAAGCTTTAGATAAACTTGGTTAAGGTTGCATTGTAGCTGAGACGTATAGGTGACTTCATTGCTATTGAAAGAGAGAAGATATTGATTATACCATTTGCATGATTATCAACTTTAAGTAATCACTGAAGCGTTTTACGATCATCCATTGACTGCACTGGGAATGCTTTTTGAAACAGAAAAATGGAAGCAAATGCACGGCTCAACTTCTTTGCCTCTTTATTTATTGCTTTACATAGTAAAGTGAAGGTCTAACACAAAAAGTGACCTAGTTATTTAAGCCATAGCAGGGCTGGCAAAGATTAGTCAAAAGTATATACAAGGTTCCAAACCTACAATTTACAAGATTGTCATTTGCAGAAGAGCTAATATGAACATGATTGACATTTACAGAAGAGCTAATAAGAACACACAACAGAAGGGTTCTTCAGAGCCATTTGTTATGTGGATACCTTTACCTGCCTCCTTTTAGCTGCTGAATTGCATTAAACAACTTCCGACGAGGCCCAACAGAAACAATTCCCATGTCTTTCAAATCTTCAAAAGTAAGAAAAGGCAGAGTTTCTTCATCAACTTCATGCATTTCAAACAATTCAGCAAACTTACCAAGACCAAGCTCTTCCAGCCATTGGCTGACACCATTTACATCACAACCACTGGATTCTTTATCATTGTGTCCTCTCGCAAATTGCAGAAAGGTTGCATTCTCTTCATAGCAAGCACCCTCAATCGAGAAGCCTCTGGGCTTCTGCAGCATCCCCCTACTATTCAGGTCATCAATCTCGTTCTCCCAAGCTTCTTTGCTCATTGCTGATGTTTCATTCTGCGAAGAATCCTTAAAGCCATTAACAGGAAAGATGTCCAAATCAGCAGCTGATGTGCATGCAACATTTTGATTCCACCCATAACCTTTCTCATCTTGAACAGTTTTCTGCCCACCAGTTTTTGAGTTCCAAGGATCACCAAATAGACTAGAAGTGCTATTAGGGTTCCGTTTTCTTCGCTTCATGAGCCTAGACCTCCGAGTTATGGTTCCAAAATCCAGATTACAATTGGTCATATTTCTTTCATCTGAATTGACAAATTCAGATGCTACTTTTAAAGAGTTAGGGTCCTTGTTCTCTCTGTTATGTTGGATATCATTGATAATCCTTGGAGAAACACTAGGATCCAAGATTGTATGCTCAGGTTGTTTTTCAGTAGAAACCTGGAGGTATTCTGACTCCCCAACTTCAGAAAACTTTCTTTTCCATCTCTTCTGCCCTAAACTTGCACCACTTCTATGATAACTCGCACGTGCGAAGGCTGCAGGTAGATCACCTATTTCCCATAACCTAACATTTGGTCTTCTTATCCTCTTTGAATTCATGCTAAATATCACCATTTTCACATATCCTAAGACCCAGAAACCGAAACCCCTGAAAACACAATCCAACGCAATGAAATCTCAGAACCACTACGGGGTAAATCAACCTCAATGGTTGAATTTAACGACACCAAAACTTCAAGAATCTCAGCAAAATCCCAAGATAAACATAACATTCGGATATAAGCTATCCAAATTAGGAAATCCCAAATCATCACAAGGCACAACTATGGATACAATTGAATGCATCAAATTCAGTACTAGAATCAAGCGAACACAAACAGAGAATTCAAGAATTTAAAAACAACTTCAGCATCAGAAATGAGCCAGGTAATTCAACAAAACCATCAAAAGCAACATAAAAGATGGCAAATTTAACAGGAATCAGGCCCTCAATTATAAGACAGGAAAATCAAAGTAATCACAGAATCCATTTACTCAGATAGTACCTAAAAGAGCTTAAGAATAAGGCTCGTCTCGTACGTGTTACTAATACCTTTCTCGCACAGTGGTAGAGTAGCTCAAACAGAGACTCTTTCCAAAATAAACTGCTGAAAAACAGAGAGCCTTTTCTGATTCTGCGAACACTCAAGCGAGGAGAGAAGTTAAGACTCAACAGGGCTTCTAAGTTTCCTCAATCACAGAGTGACAAAACGACATACACTTGGCAAAATCTTAGGTAACAGACAGGAGTTGAGCTCTTTTATTGAATCTGGAGAAAGTCGGTGGACATCTGGGAAGTCTGAAATAATTTAATGAGATCAAGGAAGTGTTGCTGTCAGCAAGGAAAAAGTTTAGGCTACCCTTTTAGTGCAACATACCATTGGCATCATCCAAGTGGCAGTTTTCTGACAAAGTCGACAACTTTAATCTTGGTTATGTTTTTCTTGGGACAGGATGTTGAGTACTCTGTACTCGTGTTCCATAAAAGGCATTTTACTTTTGTTTAATTTATATTGAAGACTATGGGCACTTAAACTGACAGCAGGAGCAATTTTTTTCAACTTTAGTCCATGGCAGTTCACATTTGAAGCGGAAGATTTTCTAGAGGAGTGAATTTTGCATAATATTTGAGTACACATGGCAATTGGGATTTTATAATTTTACATTACTCAGGAACAAAAGTCACAAAATAAATGTATTGCATGGTCACTTTCTTTTCCTTTTCCCTCAGTTCTTGGTGATTTATTTTATGTTCGCTCATGAACAGTTCGATTCATTTACAATTCTAGATAAAACAAATGCATTGCATTGTGACTTTTTTTCCTTTTTCCCCCGGTTCTTGTTGGTGATTTATTTCATGTCTCTATCCGCATCACTTTATATATATGGGAACGTGATCGAATATTCAAAAGTTGCTTACAAGTAACTTTTAGACATTAAAGTAACCACATACTTTTCTTTCTTTTTGTTACAGATTGTAGGCTGATTTGTAGGGATTAGATAGCTGATTTGTGGGGATTAGATAGTTACAGATGTAGGCTGATTTGTAGGGATTAGATAAGTTACAGATTGTAGGCTGATCTGTAGGCTAAATAATAGGAACTAGATATGTCTATACTTGTATATATACCGTTATGATTGATGAATAAAAGGTAAGGAAAATTCATTCCCTTTTTCTGAGTTTAACATGGTATCAGCGCAGTTCTGTGTAGAGCAGTTCTGTTCATAAGTTTTTTTTGAGAAAAAAAAAAAAAAAATTTTTCTGGGCTGTTGGGCGTGAGGGAGGCTGCTGCCATATTCAAGGTGCAGGCGTTAAAGGTTCCTCTAAAGACACCGCCAACTCAGGGAGGTACGTTTTTGGGTCAACATCGATCTAGGTGTGGGACCTGGCTACGACAGGTTCTCTTGTGGGTAATCTGTTATCTTGTTGAATTTTCTTAGCAATTATGTCTGACAAAAAGACTGGAGTTTCTGATATAGTTCCGTTGGTTTCAAAAATCACGGAACACAAATTAAATGGAATTAATTTTCTTGATTGGAACCATACTATTGAATTATATCTACTCAGTATTTCTATGGATGGTCATCTGACCGATGATCCACCTACGGATGACTCTAGACTGTCTTGGGTGAGAGAAGATGCTCGCTTGTATATACAAATTCGTAATTCTATTGATAGTGAGGTGGTGGGCCTGGTTACCCATTGTAAGACAGTGAAACAGTTAATGAACTATTTGCAGTTCTTATATTCGGGAAAAGGAAACTTCTCTCGTATCTATGATGTTTGCAAGGATTTTTACAGGGCAGATAAAGGAGATAAGTCTCTCACCAGTTATTTTATGGACTTCAAGAAAACATATGAAGAGCTCAATATGCTGCTTCCCTTCAGTATCAATGTGGAGGAACAACGGAATCAGCGAGAGAAGATGGCTGTTATGAGTTTTCTCGCCGGTCTTCCGTCTGAATTTGAGACTGCCAAATCTCAAATTCTTTCCGGATCAGAAATTTCCTGTCTAGAAGATGCTTTTCGAAGGATTCTTCGTACAGAGAATACGTTACCTGTTCTATCCACTCAGCCTAACAGTGTTCTTATTAGCCGTACTACCACATTTGATTCAGGAAGACAACACTACAAGAGTAGTGGCAACAGTAAGAGCATGGGGTCGGGGTCCAACAACTCTGATAAAATTACTGAAAATCGTGGAAAGGAGCAAGGAGAAATTGTATGTCACTACTGTCATAAACCAGGACATATCAAGCGGGACTGTCGAAAGCTACAGTATAAGAAAGCTCAATTTGCACATGTTGCATCTAGTTCTGAGACCTCTGAAAAGTCTGTTACAATCTCTGCAGATGAGTATGCCAGATTGACTCAGTTTCACGAAACAGTGAAACAGCCATCCGGTCGTGTTACTGCACTTGTTGAGACAGGTAAACCCAATACATGCCTTGTTTCCTCTTCTCCAAAATGGGTCATTGATTCTGGTGCTACAGATCACATGACAGGTAATCCCAATTTACTTTCTAACTTTCAGCCACATAAATCTATCACTCCTGTTACTTTAGCCGATGGTTCAACATCCAGTGTTATTGGGTCTGGAACCACTAAACCTACATCATCTCTCCATTTGTCATCTGTTCTGAGTCTACCACGACTATCGTTTAATCTGATTTCTGTCAGCAAACTTACTCGTGCCCTTAATTGTTGTGTCTCATTTTTTCCTGGTTCTTGTGTATTTCAGGATCTCATGACGAAGAAGATTATTGGTAAGGGACATGAGTCTGACGGTCTCTACATTCTTGATACACAGAAACCAGGGTCTATAGCCTGTGCTGGAACAGTCTCTCCTCTTGAAGAACACTGTCGATTGGGTCATCCTTCGCTTTCTATGTTAAAGCAACTTTGTCCTCAGCTTTCGAACATTACTTCATTAGATTGTGAGTCGTGTCAGTTTGCTAAACACCATCGTCTTAGTTCTAGTCCTAGAATCAATAAACGAGCTACTGCTCCCTTTGAGTTAGTCCATTCCGATGTTTGGGGTCCTTGTCCGGTGACTTCTAAAACTGGTTTCAGATATTTTGTTACCTTTGTTGATGATTATTCTAGAATGACATGGCTTTATTTGATGAAAAATCGCTCAGAATTATTCTTTCACTTTTCTTCCTTTTGTGCTGAAATACGAACCCAATTTGGTAAACCAGTACAAATTTTAAGAAGTGATAATGCAAAAGAATATGTTTCAGGAAATTTTCAGAAATACATGCTTGAGCAGGGTATTCTCCATCAAACTTCTTGCGTTGACACCCCTTCTCAAAATGGGGTTGCTGAGAGAAAGAATAGACATCTTCTTGAAACTTCTCGAGCCTTGTTATTTCAAATGAAGGTTTCTAAATGCTTCTGGGCTGATGCTGTATCTACTGCTTGTTTTCTAATCAATCGTATGCCTTCCTCTGTTTTATCTGGTAATACTCCTTTACACACTCTATTCCCGAATAGACAATTGTTTCCTATAGAACCAAAGATATTCGGGTGTACTTGTTTTGTTCGGGATGTTCGTCCTCAAGTTACAAAACTTGATCCTAAGTCCTTAAAGTGTATATTCCTGGGTTATTCCCGTGTACAAAAAGGGTATCGTTGTTATTGTCCTAGTCTTGGTAAGTATCTTGTGTCTGCCGATGTCACTTTTTTGGAACAAACACCTTTCTCCTCATCTTCAGGTTCTGTGAGTCCGGGGGAGGATGATGATTTGTTAATCTATAGTGTCATACCAAATTTGGATTCGCCTCCCTCTACACCAGTTAAGCCTCCCATCAAATACACCTACTCGCGTCGCCCACATCTGCCCAGTTCTGACTTGGTCCTGGAGTCTCCAACATCATGTCCTGATGAACCAGTATCTTCGTCATCAGATCCGACTACCAATGATGATCTTGATCTCCCTATTGCTCAAAGAAAAGGTAAACGTGCATGTACTTATCCAATCTCTTCAGTTGTTTCCTACAATCATTTGTCTTCCTCTTCTCGTGCTTTTCTTACATCCCTAGACACTATTTCTGTACCCAAAACTGTTCAAGAGGCATTAGCTCATTCCGGATGGCGGAATGCTATGATTGAGGAAATGAATGCTCTAGATGTCAATGGTACGTGGACTTTAGTTACCCTACCTGCAGGTAAACGAGCTATTGGATGTAAATGGGTGTTTACGGTCAAAATGAATCCTGATGGTTCCATTTCTCGATTGAAAGCTAGACTTGTTGCTAAAGGATATGCTCAGACTTATGGCGTGGACTATCATGATACTTTTTCTCCTGTAGCTAAACTTGCTTCTATCAGGTTATTTATCTCCCTTGCAGCAGCTTATGACTGGCCTCTGCATCAATTAGACATCAAGAATGCCTTTCTTCATGGTGATCTTCAGGAGGAGGTCTATATGGAGCAACCACCAGGTTTTGTTACTCCAGGGGAGTATGGGAAAGTCTGTCGTCTGAACAAATCTCTATATGGTTTGAAACAGAGTCCTCGGGCTTGGTTTGGAAAATTTAGCCAAGCTCTTGAAAAGTTTGGGATGCAAAAGAGCAAGTCCGATCATTCTGTTTTCTATAAACAATCTCATGGGGGTATTATTCTGTTAGTTGTATATGTGGATGATATTGTCATCACAGGTAGTGACCCTAGAGGAATTTCGTCTCTGAAGTCCTTTCTTACTACTCAGTTCCATACCCAAGACTTGGGGATGTTAAAGTATTTCTTGGGAGTTGAAGTTAGCAGGAGTAAGAAAGGAATCTTCCTATCTCAGAGGAAGTATGTGCTTGATTTACTGATGGAGTCGGGAAAATTGGGTGCTAAACCATGTAGTACCCCAATGGTTCCTAATTTACAGTTAACCAAAGAAGGTGAGTTGTTTGCAGATCCTGAGAGGTATAGAAGACTTATTGGAAAGTTGAATTATCTTACTGTGACACGTCCTGATATTGCTTATTCAGTGAGTGTGCTGAGCCAGTACATGTCATCACCAACTATTGACCATTGGAAAGCAGCAGAACAAGTTTTACACTATTTAAAAGGTGCTCCTGGACGTGGTATCCTATATGGCAATTATGGTCATACTAGGATCGAATGTTTCTCAGATTCTGATTGGGCAGGGTGTAAGGAAGATAGGAGATCTACTTCAGGATATTGTGTTTTTGTTGGGGGAAATTTGGTTTCATGGAAGAGTAAGAAACAGAATGTAGTCTCACGATCAAGTGCAGAAGCTGAATACAGAGCTATGGCAAAGTCTGTGTGTGAAATCATATGGGTATATCAGCTCCTGAGTGAAGTAGGAATTAAGGTCTCGGTACCTGCAAAGCTACGATGTGATAATCAAGCTGCACTTCACATTGCTTCTAATCCAGTCTTTCATGAACGAACG